AGCTTACCAAAACAACTATGACAAACAAACAAACAAACAACCCCCCCAAATCCAAACAACAACAAAACAATATCACCTGCAATGCTCCCGAAAATGCTAATGCTCAGGCAGCTAGGTAGCAGATGCCAAACCTCTGCCACAGTCCTGAGAAGGTCCTTTAAGAACAGGCCTGTTGATGCTTGATTTTGCTTTATATCTGGCTGGCACAGCCTGCACCATGTCTGGTCACTTGCCACATAAGTAGAGTTTAGCATCTTAGCTGTGTGTTTTGGAGGGACCCTCCAGAAGGATGCTGCACTGTGTCATTGAGGTCATTCACAGAGTACATGACAGAACTGAACTAAGCTCACCCTGATGTTAGTGGATATTTACCAAGCACATCACACTTAATGCAAGCAGTATGTGTTTGGGTATTCCCAAGACTCTGGGCTCCTCCATTAGTCAATTAAAACTAATGATATTTAGCTTCCAGAACTTTTGGGGATTAACTTAAATCTGATAATATGTAGGCGAGGAATAAGATTCTGGACACAAGTTCAGCTTTTAATAAATGAGGCATCAACCCAAAAACTACAGTATGACACTGAATATCTTAGTAGTAGAATCAGAATCCCCAAAAGGAGATGGCATTGCTTATTGTTGCATAAGGTTTGCACTGGCCACATGGAACTTCAGAAGTGTATATACACTGGAAAATTTGCTCCCATGGGTGTATATACTATTTCAGTTCTTTTTAAATTAAAAGTACATCTATTTTTATTCTCTGAGAATTTAATATATGTACTCAATATATTTTGATCATATTCACCCTGACTTCCTACCCCCCAACTCCTCCCAGATCCACCCCTATTACCCTTACTCCTTCTAATTTTGTGTCCTGTGTTTTGGTGTTTTTAAAATAGCCAACCAAGAATGAAATTTGTATTGCCTATATTTCCACATGGGCCATCCACTGGAGGTTGACCACGGTCTTAAAGAAACTGACTTCCCAATAACTCCCCACTAAGAGGTGGAGCTGGGGAGTGCCTTTATCCTTCATGCTGGAATGCTGCCTGGCTTAATCTTGGGCAGCTCTTGCACAGGCAACAACAGCTACTGTGAGTTCACTAGTAAAGCCCTTCTTTCATGTCTGGAAGACACTGTTTTGCTCTGGTTCTTCCTGACCTCTGGTTCTTGGAATTTTCCCACCGCCTCTTCTGTGATGGTGTCTGAGCTTTGGGAGAACTGGATATGATATAGACCACCTATTTGTAGTCATGCGCTCCACAGACACGCTCTGGACTTGTACTATTGTGAGTTTCTACATCAACCCTTGTCTGCTTCTCAAAGAAATTTCTCTCTTCTTTTTTGTTTTTATTGTTTTATTTTTTTATTTTTTTGGTTTTTCGAGACAGGGTTTCTCTGTATTGTTTTGGAGGCTATCGGTCCAGCCCAGCCTCGAACTCACAGAGATCCGCCTGCCTCTGCCTCCCGAGTGCTGGGATTAAAGGCGTGCGCCACCACCGCCCGGCTTTGTTTTTATTTCTAATGAGTGTTTCAATAATAAAAATGTTACATCTGTAAACAATGAAAGGATGGTCCCTCTTCTTGGGATTTTAAATTTTATTTTAAAAAATATTCTTACAACTACAAACTATACAACTATAAATTCTTCTTTTTTTCCTCTTTGTAATAAATGGGCCATATAGTAGGCAGGGTGTGTAGCTTTCCTTATTCTTAATTCACTATATCTTGGAGTTGAGACTACTTTTATTTGAATAGGATTAATGACCTCTTGCTGGCAGGTGGGTGTTTTGAACATTTACAGAGTTTGCTCTGACAGCTCTTCATAGGTGACTGCTTGCAGGAAGCACTTTAGAAATAGAAAGCTGGGGTCAAGGTTAGATGCAGTTTAGTCTCTTCAAATGGCATCTCATCTTATATTTTTGACCAGTCTTCTTGTGTAACATCCTTGCTGCCTACACACCTACAACAGTGTGTCATCAGCTGTTTTGGTTTTTGCCAGTGAGGGCTGGGAAGTGAAGAGCTAATGACAGTGTAGGCTAGAAGTAAGCCTGACAAGGAAAGCGAGATGAAAGATGAATTAGAAGAGGTGAGTGAAGGGAAGCTAACAGACTTCCAGCAAGTGGTGACTTGACCAGATGCCTCATGCTCTAACATTCATTATTCTGCATCGAGAAATAAATATTCTCTTTTTAAAACCTCATGTATGTGTGCACATATGTGTGCCTCAGTACATGTGGGATGTCAGCAGACAGCCATGGTTTGAGGCAGGTTCTCTTGTGCCCTGCTGTGTATGCCAGGAGCTTCTGGGGGTTCTCTTGTCTGCAACTCATCTCACTGTGGAGGTGCTAGAATTACAGATGTGTACTACAGCATCTGCCTTTATGTGGGTTCTTGGGATTTGAACTCAGATCCTCATGCTTTCCTGAGAAGTACTTTCACCACTGAACCCATCTCCTTAGTTCCCCCTGAGCTCTCTTATTCCTATATACTTTGATGACCAGTGTTTGCCCACAGTACCTCTTGTGAACTAAGTTTCCCACGAGAAAACCAACACACAAGAAAGTCAAATGACTTATCCAAGGTCCAAAACCAACTTAAGTTGAGACTGGGGGTTTACAAAACTCCTTACACACTGGTTTAGCCTAGGATTTCAGCCTGTACTGGAAAAGCCTCAAAGGGTTTGAATATGTGGTCGGGATGAATCACCCACAGTTGGAGCTTAATAATTGTCTTGGATCCAGCCATTTCCTATAACATAGAATTTCTGTAAGGGAAGTTGTGATGGTAAACGCACTGGCATTTTCCCCACTGGTGATCATTCATTCCTTTATTTTGTTTTTCTTTCTTTTTTTTTCTGACGGGGTCTTATGTAGCCCATGTTATCCTTGAATTCACCATATGCCCAAAGCTGACTTGAACTCCTGATCTTCATGTCTGTACTATGCCTGCTTATGGTCAGTTCTTCAAGGTTCCTCCCCAAGGAACATGTATTCTTTCCACCAAGCTAGTATATTTACTCAACGAGAACTTCACTAAGCTGTGTGTAAGAAAGAGCTTAAGATTCTTATGTAGAAAACCATTCTTGAATTCAACCCTTAAAGCTTCAGCATTTTAACACCTTTTGGGATATTCTCCTGAAGCGGGGCTGTGACGTGTGACTTCTTCCTGCTCCCCTTGCTCAGGACCACTGAGATGAAGGACTCACTGGGACTTCATTGGCTATGCATTTCACTTATTTTTGAGTCATCTGTGTAGATCAGGGCATTTTCCACTTGAATCAAAAATGTGAGTCTTGGGGCTTTCTCTTGAGTTCTAATGACAGTATAATGTCACAAAATCCCATGAGGAGACAATGTCAAAGTGACGCAGAACATGTGGTGAGAAAATAACAAAGAGACAGACCTTAGAAAATAACCTTGTATAATGAAAAAAAACTAACCTGGGCCAAGGATGTTTTAATTAAGAAAGCCCAAGGTCTACCTTGTACCAACTGGACATCATCATCACAGTGGTCATTCCTTTAGTGCAGAGCCATGAGCATCTAGAGAATTAGACATTTATTGTATTTGCCTGAAGCAAGGAAAGTGTCACTGTTAAAAAATGGAATATGAGCACTGCAGTGGTCTTAGAAATTAGCTAGCCCAAAATCCAATTTTCCAGAAAAGGGAACACAAGCTCACGAATACATGCTATTCAGCTGGGGTGTCAGCAGAAATGAGACACTAGGCCCAAGCCCTCCCTGTATGGTTGGGTTCAATGTGTGTTGTGTGTGAGCGGGTGCATATAACTGTACAAAGAGGTCAGAATCAACCTCCCTCAATTGTTCTCCATTTTAAATTCATTTCCTATTATTGTTTTCTGTGTGGTTGTATGTAGGGGGTGGGGAGTGTATGTGTGTCATAGGGCGTGGGGGGGGGGCGAGGGTACCAGAGAACAAGTTCGTAGACTTGTTTCTTTTCTTTCACCTTTATGTGGGATCTAGGTATCAAATTTCAGTAATTGAGCTTACAAGGCCGAGTGCCTTTGGTGAGTCTTCTTGTCTGTCCACTTCCACCTTATTTGAGACAGGGTCTCTCAGTGGACCAGGAAGCTCACTGATCAGCTAGGCTAGCTGACTAGTTGGCCAGCAGATCTCAGGCATCCTCCTGTCTCTGTATTCTCCCTCCCCACAAGCAATGGGGTTACATACACTGGCATACCTCATTTGTACTTTGGGGCTGGGAATCCAGACTCACAACCTTGTGTTGTGTGTCAAGCACTTTACCAGCCCTTTTTGCTACAAGAATACACTTGATGGATGTTTCTTCATTTGTTTATCCAAGCGGGCTGGGCATATTTGTGGACCTACTGGTTTTAACTGAGAAAATAAAAATGAGGAAATGAAATAATGTTAAGAGACAAGGAGAAGATAAGGTAGATAAAGGCATTTATCCCCAGATGCTGAGCTCAGAAATTGTTCTAGAAGTTCCCACTCCACTTGAGGGCTGTGCCTACTGTCTCCTGATCTAAGTAGTGCTGCTATCTTTGTGAATGATCAACTGCTTAAGATATGTTTCAAATTAACTGTATAAATAACCCGTCGATGTCCTTCACTGTCCATTTCTCACCGCAAACAGAATGCAATGTGTTTTTATAACTAGAGAGCTATTTGACTTTTTTCCTCTTTCCCACATTTGGATATAGATTGATATAGCATTACTTAAAATGCTGCATATAAATTAAACATTAAGCAGGCGATATGGAGAAGCTAACTGCCCCAATAGAATCTTTAGTTCTGCAGTCACTGCCTGAAGGACACTCATATTTCATATCGGATGTCCTTCTTTTGAAAAGTGACCACTAAGGTTCAAGTGACATTTAAGCATATCAGGCAGCTGCATAATTTATGGACCCTTTTGTTTTGTGTTCTTATTTTTAATGAAAACCAAGGAAACAGTCTGTGTTCCGGCATTAACATGTTTCCCCTGTGCTTTTCCTCCCACCATGCCCTGCAGATCGGTGCACTGACGGACTACTATCACTTCTACCATAGTAGGACCATTAAAAGGTCTGTTCTCTCGAGCAGAGGAACCCACAGTTTCATTTCAATGGAACCAAAGGTAAGAAAAGCCAGTTGGATGGGGACCAAGAGGCAATGCTTCTGCATTTTTCATTGGTGATAACACTAGGAGCCAGTGACGAAGCATGAAGCTCCTGTTTCTAGATCTGTCACAGTATCCTCTGGTTCAATGTCTTCTCTCAGGCAACAGTGCTCAGTGGCTTGATTTTTATTGATGTGCCACTGTCGTGCCAGGTGTAGAGCAGCCATAGATAGGAGCTTTTATTTGAGAGAGGCTGTGGCTTGTGAAGATAGATCAGTTGAATGTGTCTGAAGAAAGAAGAACATGCTGTCTCTCATGCATGCAGTTTGAGTTCCTATGAGCTCCGCGGGTGACTTTTACCTGCTAGTACTCTTAAGCCAATATTGACTTAGGTTAATACTTGCTATTTTCCTTGGCATTGATAGTTTAAAAGCAGACCACGGCTGGGACAAAAAACATGCTTGCACACACAGGGGCAAAAGCCAGCTCCTATTCTTGGGGTGGCAGGTCATCTAATATCCTTTTGAGCTGTACAGTGATGTACTCCTGGAAGACCCTAGAAAGAAGTAATGGCAAATATGGGTCTCCCATGTGATAATGTGAGGTGGCTTTTGCATGAGATATGGGAAACAGAGAAATATTGGGCACAAACTAAGAGAAGACAACTAAAGATACTGACATCAAGTTAAATATCTGTATTTATTAATTAAGTTGGAGGAAGGAACTGACTTCAGTAGAATTAGCTTTCCCAGACACGTTAAGTAATGGCGAAGCAGAGGCAGCTGTGCCGATTTACCTTAGGACCTCTGTGGGTTCATTCAGTGATTAGGTTATTTTGTCTCTTCCCCTCCATTGTGATTTTGGTTTGCCATAGAACTCATTCTCAAATAAAATGGCAAGAAAGTCTCTACCAGCAAACATAGCAGCCTTAGCTAGAGGCTCTTGGAAAATTATATTCCTTGTTAAAGAGGCTCTTATATGGATTCTTGTGCAATTCAGCGTGTGGTTTGGAGTCTTGCCTTCTGTTATGGGCCATAATTTATTCTGTGTCTTAGTCAAGGTTTTTGTGGCTGTGAAGAGACATTATAACCATGGCAACTCTTATAAAAGAAAACATTTAGTTGGAGCTGGCTTACAGTTCAGAGGTTTAGTCCATTATCTTCATGGTGGGAGGCACGGGAGCATGCAGGCAGACATCTGAGAGTTCTACGTCCAGATAGGCTGGCAACAGGAAGAGAGAGGGTGACACTGGGCCTGGCTTGAGCAATAGAAACCCCAAAGCCCACCTTCCAGTGAAATACTTCCTTCAACAAGGCCACACCTACTCCAACAAGGCCCTGCCTCTTAATAGTGCCACTGCCTATGAACATATGGACACTATTTTTATTAAACTCTTTAATTTTTTTCTTGAGTTATTTCCTTGGAATAGTATGGCACAGTGTCCATGACTGAAATTATATCTCGGTAGTTAGAGAAAACACTTTTCTTTCAGGTACCTCCTGCAGCGTGGTATAGGGACATTCAGTGGCTTGTAGATGATGTGTATGTGTTTATTTCCATTTTATACTAATTTTTCTGAAAAAGTAACATGTGGGAACATTTGATACATTTTAAAAGGAAACTGGCAGTTCTTTCATCTGTTAAATGAATGTCTTGAACTTTGACAATTAGTATGATTACTGTTTCAAACCTCACATGCAAATATGAGTTTGAAAAGTTGGCCTTAGAATTAGGAATGGAATGTGATGAGATTTTGTTTACCTGAGGAAGGATTTACCATTACCTTGATGTTATCTTAGGCATCTTGTTTTTTTCTTTCTTATCTCTGCACATGAAATAGCTTGTGTGTGATCCAGCAGAAACCTTGGATCCTAGGACAGCCAGTATATGAACACCACCCTTCTCAGGGAGTCCAGGGGTACAAGGCCAGTTAGGTCAGCCCAGAAGCAGCTGTGTTATTCTAACTCTTCCTCAATAAAAGGAATACCCAAGAGTAGGGCTATGCCTTGATCTCCACCCTTGCCGTTCTGCCTATGACTGCCACTCAGACTACCACAAAAGTGGGGTTCCCTACCCTTTGCATTGTATTTCTGTGGCCAACTTATTCACTGACTGTTTCCTGAGCCCCTAGTGTCTCCAGCCCCATGTCAGGCTCTGGGGTACCTGTTGGTGTCTCCCAGAGCAGCTTTCAGGGCCCCTCAGCATAGGATGATGCTTCTCAGGGTTGAAGTTTGGGGGAAAGGAGATAGATGGTATTGTTTTCCTCCTCCAACCCCCTCAACAAGCCTAGCAATTTTTTTGTTCTTCAAAGTTAACAAAACAAAATAAAACTCACCAGCCTTTTTTATTTAGAATGAAGTTGTAAAAGTAACTTTCCAGATTCCCATGCTTCTCAGTCTCCCTTCTCTTCTTATCTTTCCACACACAAGCACATTCACACATATATACATGGGTCTTTTCAGTAGTGAGTTACAAATGCATTCCTTTAGCTCAAACTCCTATACATCCTAAGAGCCATGGATGAAGGTTGGAGTAGAACTCCTTGCATGTCAAAAATGAGGTCTTGTTTTTTGCTATTTCCCTAACAGCATTAAATAAATAAACAAGTAACTCCACTGTGCATTCATTAAACATGAGGGTATTCTACACTATAATCATAAGTGCAATAATGGAAGTCTGGATATCAACATTGACTTGGTGTTGTTATCTATTATTAAGGTTTTACATTCTCAGTGCTTTCTTCTGTAGTCTAGGATCACCTTTAGGTGTTATGTTGCCCAAGTCTCTTCACTCTGTTGTATTCTTCAGCTTTCTCTTCTCTAGAAGAGTAGAAGCCATTAATGTAGCACAATGCATTTCAGGTTGGGTGTTCTCTGCTTCTCATTGGATTCAAGTTTCATAGGAATGCTTTTGGCCACACAGTGCTTTGTGCAGATGAACCTTTCTCTGAACCATCTAGAAGGCACAGGATGCTTGCTTGTTCTGTTGTAGACACTGACATTAACCTTATTTTTAGAATGGGCTCTCTCCTTTAAAACTCCTGTTTTCAGTGGGTTTGGACATGCCTGATAATCTCAGCACTCAGGAAGCTGTTCATGATTTTGAAGGCAGACTTGGGTTCATAGTATGATTCTGTCTTAAAATAAGTAAGTAAATAAATATAGCTGTTTTTCCTTTCTTAATCAGTAAGTACTTAAAAGATTTTCTATAGGAAGACATGTAAAGAATATATATGTATATATATATGTACACACACACATACATATGTATATATATTCATTCTGTTGCTATAACAAAATACTTGAGGCCAAATAATATGAAAAGATGTTTCCTCACCACATGGTTTTGAAGGCCAAACAAACAGCACAGTGTCATCTCTCTTAAGGTTCCTCATGATTGTGGTACCATGTTGATGGCATGATGGGGAGAGTGTGCTTGAGAGACTTTACATGCAAGACAGGAATCCAATGAGTAGGACAGGCAGGCTCTTTTAAAATAACACCCTCATGGGATTTACTAATGTATCCACAAAGCCCTTACCCTTTAAACATCCCATTAATGACCAGGTTGTCAGTTTATACACGCTTTGTAACAAGCCACACCGAGTCGTAGTGATATGTAAATTTCCATGCAAATTTGCACTCTTCATTCTGAGTTGGCATCATGAGAGAATAAAATGAATACTCTAGCATGCTAGTCACTCCTTAAAGTGTGGTGAGTACTTGAAGTACCAGAGCAGGGTCACATCTGTGGGACTTGCCCATGGGAAATGGCTTTATGGATGACATTGGCAATGTTAGCTTCATGTTACTTCTAACTACCACCTTCTCCAGAAAGGGAAAATAGCAGGTTGAATTGCAGGGAAAACACACACCAAACAGACTGGCTTTGTTTGCTCTACTAAATTGCATGGCTACTTATGTCTTTACTTAGAGGGTTCCAAAGAAGGAAAGTGCAAAGCAGCAGCCTGATGAGAATAACCCTCTGGATTCTAAGAAAGTTGTGTGGTCAACTGGGGCACATGAGCCTTGAGAGCAAGAATAGCCTTGATTCCCACACTTTAACATTATGCTGTGATTATCATTTTAAATGACAGGGATCCACAGACTTCTGAGGGGACAGCACTGGTATAATCACAATACAGTTTGGCAGGAAGTGTTGGCACATGTTACAGCAGTGGGACAGTAAGTCTTCCACTCTTCTTTGTTTGTGTGTGCTCATGTGTTATGCACACATGCTTGAAGGCATGCTTAACTCTGCCTGTGTATGTAGAAGCCAAAGGTCAATGTATCATGTCTTCCTCTCTTACTTTCTTCCTTAGTTTTTGAGATAGTATCTCACTGAACCCAGAGCTTCCCTCCTTCCTTCCTTCCTTCCTTCCTTCCTTCCTTCCTTCCTTCCTTCCTTCCTTTATTTATTTTGACTAGACTTTCTGGTCATATCTTCATGACTTTACCCACATAATACCCTAAGCCATCACCCTTTTTTTTTCTTTTTGAGTGATTAACCTTTCTCCAGAGAACCAAACTCTTCTTGAAACAATAGGATATCCCCACTCCCAGAGCTTTCTTTCTTTTAAATATTTAATTTTTAAATTATGTGTATATGTGTGTATTTTTGTGGGGGGTATGTGCAGGTGCCCACTAAGTCCAGAGAGGGTGTTGCATATCCTGAAGGTGATATTATAGGTGGTTGTGAGCTACGGTGCACCAACATTTAAGTGTGCAACCACCTCTTCAACCCTGTGAGGACTTGTTAATTAATCTGTTTATACATCTTTGCCAGCCACAGTTGAAAGTTATTAAAACTGCATACAGATCTCTTGTACCTGTATAAAAACCCAGTATAGTGTCTATAAGCCCAGTACTGGGGTGGGTAGAGACAGCTGAACCCCAGGGCTCTCTGGCCAGCAAGTCTAGTCAAAACAGCGATCTCTGGGTTCAAGGAGCAACTGTCTCAAAAACCGAGGTAGACTATAATAGGATACAGGAAGCACCATCTGCAGGACATGGTGTGGC